GCGTTCTGAATGGGAAACGACAGGTTTGTACTGGCCTCCTGTTTTTGAAGGGAGAGCTCATATTAGTAATCTAATAACAACACGTCTGCTTAATGTGTAACGCTGGGGGTCAAATCCTCCCAAATCTTTGGTTCTCCATTGTTAAGATGGTTTGAACCTCCCCGTGTGATCACCTGTGCGCACGCAGCTTTTCAACACCTGCTTCTCTACCAGGTTTGGGCCCTGACACCTCTCTAATATTCGGTTCAGTTAAAGTCACTGTCCACGTCAACAGGTACAGACGATAAAGGATCGATCCATCCAACAGAACATTTCATTTCCTGAAGTTCTTTCAAAGTTTTCTTCAGATCTGCTGTTTAACACTGATCTGTGAATCATTCAAGCATACAAAGGTGCCTAACTCAAAGGACGAACAAGTGTGACACTCATTCCTGGAAAAGAGCCGTCTGTGACCATAAACACCTGGATTACTTACTTTCACTTCATAGTGGACACATAACCTGTTTAAAGATCTGATTATTCTAGCTCATTGTAGCTCATTAGCTAACTACTTGCCAATCATGTTAGCCAATGAGGTGTGGTGTTACAGTGAGCTCCACCTCTCGCTGTCACCACCTTAGTTTCAAAATCCTGACAGCAAAGACACATCTACGGCTTCATCATGAGACTTGATGAAGTGGTGATGTCACAGAGGCGGCATCCATCTGTAGTTTCATCAACAGCAGGCACAATCCAAAACTTGGCAGACGTAGGGTCATGATAAGCACGACAAACTGCAGTCAGAAGAAACAACTGTTTAAATAAAAATACATAAAATTCTTCTGAGCTTGTACAGAGATGAGTGACCGCAGCAGCGCTGGAAGGATGTATAACCTACTGAATATTTCCAGCGTGTCGTTACCCTTAAAAAGTTAAAAAAGAAAAACTGTACATTCCTGTATCAGAGGAGTGCCTGTGTGACCACATCCTTCCTCCAGGGCTGTACTCGAAGCAGGCCATCAATTATGTCATCAAGCAAAAATCCCAAACGGTTAAACGAGTCCCACTGCTAAACCGAAATCCCGTCCACAGCGTGCTGCTGGGAGTGAACGCAGGAAGGAGTGTGTCAGATGTCATTGGATGGGGACCCCTTGCTCTTACGTCCAGGCAGAGGGAAGGCCGACTTGCTCTGAGGCTGCGTGAGGCGGCTGGTGAGCTGGGTGAACGGTTCGATGAGCGAGGTGCGTTCAGTGACGCTCACCTCCCACAGCTTCACCTTCTCGCCTCGTGCCCACTGCTGTGCTGCCTCGTGCTCTACCTGACGACGCTCCCGCAGGTCTGTTTTGTTCCCCAGCACTATGACCATCACCTGCACCCAAAACAAAGCCACGTCACTTTTTAGTGATCTACATTTACACAGGAGAAAACACGAATACATGCAAGTGTGGAATTTTAGAGTCCAACGTCTCTGTGAAGTTTTTGTTTTTCCCAAATATCCGCCTGTCCGAGAATATTCTACACATTCAAGGGTTTTTTTAATCCAACATTATAGAAATATACTGAGGCTATCAAACTATGAAACATGTTTTTATCTCTATATATCAATACTGTGTCTACTCGCAGTCAGGAGGCTTCATGTTCGCTTCTTACTGCGTTTCAAACAGTCGATATAAAAGCTCACACCCGTGGTGTTCCCCCCCAGGTGCGACTGTGGACGCTCACTGGAGCTTTTCCCACACATGTCAAATCGTTTCTGGGCGAGATACCCAAATTGCACCCGATGCATCCATCAGTGTATGAGTCTGTGCTTAAAATGCATTTGTTTTAATGCTGCGTCGACCTCACACAGCGCAGGTGTTTCGAAACATCCTTGTCACATGACCACGGCTAACTAAGGTTTTGGTGCATTCCATCCCAGTTTGAACATCTGGCTGACCGACTGCTTTTAGGTTTGGTTGACAGTGTGCAGAACAAACCTGATGACACTGCAAAGTCATAGAAAGCTTAACAGTCAGCAGTAGCAGCGAAAACACCCACAGTGGAACTGCTCATGGCACTGTGGAGGTCCATAGACGCCTCACTGAGGCCTTTGTTTCAACAACGCGTGATCCACTAATTTAGTGATCAGAGTGACTGTTAGCGGTGAATGTGATGAGCGGCGAGGATGACTACAGCGAAGCTGAAACATAAGTCAGTTTAAAACTCAAATGCTATTGCTAATGCTATCAGAGTTCAGGTTTGCAGCTTCCTCTGTGTCTAAACAAAATTCGGTCAGAGCAGATAACAAACTGAACTATGGAGAATAAAATGCCGTAATGTTAAATGTGTCAAAAAGGCTAACAGGCCCTGAACTCAAACAGGTGGAGCTGCCCTCTCCACCCGTGATATTGTAGCAACATAAAGTAGCTTCCCTAAGTGTTACACGTCGACTCCTTTCTCCACCTTTATCTTCCTGTTTAGGTCTGCTCTGTCTGTGGTTTGTTATTTGTGAACGCTGAGGTTCTCTTGGTGCTGCTGGTCATGTTTTTTGGAACAGTGACCTTATTATATGCATATCTTTAAAGTGATACAAGTATTCACTTTTAAGAGCAAACATGTTTTATACTCATAAATGTATAGATTTGTCTATATAAAACCATTCAGATGATTTCTAGCAAGTTTTAAAGACGCGTCCAAACATGTGTTATCTCTTTCTATTCTCCATAAGGTCCAGTTTACACTGTTTAGTACTACACTCACTGTAAAGCTGTACAGCTAAGAGGCGGAAACTAGAGCTGTTAAGAAATACTCTAAATGTAATTATATTATTTAATCAGGCAAAAACTAGACATCTGCTCACAGAAAAAGAACTTGTGAAGTTCTGGGATGATATGCCAGCAATCTGTGCAACGTTTGCCCGAGCAGACTTCAACCCAGCCTCACCTCTTTTTTATCTCTGGACTTATCTATTTCTTTCTTCAGAACGTCCACCCTCTTGAAAGACTCCAAGCTGTCAACACTGTAAACAAGCACAAAGCCATCTGCCACTGAGTAGTAGTGCTTAGGGAGGTCTTGTCCATCATTCAGTCCCTTGGTGTCATAGAGCCTGAGCTGTTCCTTGACACCTCGGTCGGTTTCCACAGAGGCCACATACACGTCCTCCTGTGTCTCGTTAGACTCTGACCCTGAAAGGTACAGACGAAAAATAAAAAGAGTTACTGAAACAGCAAATGAGGATCTTGGCAATGAAGCATTGGAATGCTCTCATACAGCATGATGTATCAACACCATGTAATATAAATATACCAAACAATTCATGTCCTGGAAGAATGTACGTATGTTATGCCAAATAAAGAGTGTTCAAAGCTTCGTCACTGAAACAAGTAACATCACGCCCCTGTGCGTCCAGTCCTCACCTACACTGTGGTTTCCGTACAGCAGCTGTTCCAGAATAGCAGTTTTTCCCACAGCCGCCTGGCCGCACACCACAACTTTACAGCCTTTTCCCATGTCGAGTCTGTGACATCAAGACAGAAGGTCACAGTGTGTACAGAAACGCGTTAGAACCACAGTAACATCAAAACATCAACAGACATGTTCACCCTTAGCTTGTACCTAGCTGGCTAAAGCTAGCTATTGTTTAGCCAGCTAGCCGAAATACGAACACATATTTTTAAATTCTTTGTATGTTTGAGAAAAGTCGCTAACTTTAGTGAGGAAGATACGAGGCTTCCGTCAGGTCTGCAAGCGTAGAACCACGACCGGAGGATCCATTCTGCTGTGAGATTAGAGCGACAGGTTCTGTCAGAGCGCATGCGCAGTTCACCATACGTTAGAGCCCTCGAAGATCACCAACTTTGCTCGCGTGTACGTTATTATTTACTCATTTATTCATTTATTCATTTATTCATTTTATCTGTAGAAAATATGAAAGCTGATTAAAGACAAGTTAAAATTACATTTAAAAAAAAAGTTTAACGCATGTTATTAATGCTGAATTTGTAATTGACTCCTAATTAATATGCAGTTCGACGCAGTAAATTATGGCTCCGAATTTGTCTTTATGTTTACAAATATTTGTGCTTTATATTTTTAGGAATGAAATCACTCGAAACTGGACAATGAGCGCGTGTTTGATTCTGAAAATTACCACATAAGTGACAAACGCGAAAAGTCGAAGAGAAAAGAAGACCACATTTCCCAGGAGCACTGCGAAAAGCGGAAGTACGCTACTGCCGTTTTCCTTAAGGCATGCTGGGTACTTGCCCTCTCTCTTTCCGGCTAGTACGCCATCATGTAAGCGAGTTTTTCTGTGCTTGTGACCAAATAGTAATCCGTTAAAATCATCATGCATACCCGTTCATCTGTATCTGTGACTCGGGCTGTAGCTTAGTGCTTTGTTATCAATCTGTACTCTGTGACTATTTCGTGGAAAAAGGTTAAAGGCTTTGATTAGAATCCTGTGCTTTAGTGGCGTTCAGATGCTCTCTATCTGGTAGCCAGGGACCGCTAACGTGTCGTTTCCACTGTGATTTATTTATGTAAATGTAGAGTTCTAGCGTTTGGATCACTGTCCCACGTACGCGTGCATTTCTGTGGAGTTATTTCTGTGGGTATTTATGCGACAAAGAGCCGGCCAACTGCGGTGTGCTGCTGTCGGCTATGCTAGCCTTGTATACAGTTTATGCTAAGCGTGGAGTGGCTACATCTGCTGTGTCGCTATTTCATTCTCTTCGTGTGTCTGAATGTTTTTGGGGAAACCTGAAGCATGGACGTGTTTGCGTAGCCTTCATATTCTGAAGGTATCCAGTCCAGGTCACGTCCAGCCATGTGCCGTTTGAAATGTAGAAATACGTGAATTTCTATTTAAAATGTGCCGAACTAATCTTGTAACTTGCCAACAGTTCAGTGATTTAAAGACTTGTTAGACCATACCTGTTGGGCTCTTAAGTGTAGCTGCCGTAAACAGTGTTGCTCTGCTGAACTGTTTGTTGCACTGTAAAGGAAGGTAGCGTCTAATGAGCTTTTAATTAACAAGCTGACAAAAATGACTTGACCAAAGTTTCTTTTTCTTCTCAGATAAGTCAACATGGGGGCATATAAGTATATGCAGGAGCTATGGCGTAAGAAGCAGTCCGACGTGATGCGCTTCTTGCTCCGCGTCCGCTGCTGGCAGTACCGTCAGCTGTCCAACCTCCACCGTGCTCCCAGACCCACCAGGCCAGACAAGGCTCGCAGGCTGGGCTACAAGGCCAAGCAAGGTGAGTGCTGTGCCTGTGGTTGTTCGCCTCCACGTCTGTCACCTGTCATCATCTGTACCCGTTCGGGTAATTGCATATTTTTGTTCGATCGAAACAGGCTACGTGATCTACCGTATTCGTGTGCGCCGTGGAGGTCGTAAACGCCCCGTGCCCAAAGGTGCTACCTATGGCAAACCAGTGCATCATGGTGTCAACCAAATCAAGTTCGCCCGCAGCCTGCAGTCCATCGCTGAGGTACGTTCATACCTGCTGATCCAACCTTGGTTTCATGAAGCTACACCAAGCGTCAGATAGTTCAGTACTGAATGTGACATTGAGCATCATTAAGCCTGTTACTCATTTTATTACATTAATGTGAATATTATGTTAGTGATATGAAAGGATGCCTTACTTTACTGCCCACAGTAGCTTAGTCTGATGGTGGATTAACAATGTTAAAGGTGTAGTTGCCACTCACACCCCAGCAAATAGTTTTCATCAGTGGTCGTATCTTGTGTTGAAACCTACAGAATGATGTGATCTGTGAGATGAAAAGTGTTTGGATTCCTGTTTGTTTGTTATAAAATATTCTTGGCCAATATCCTGCACCCCTCAGCAGTCCTGTATAAATGTGGCGTGCAATGTTAGACGCTGCATTACTTTAGTATGTGCTCTCTGTCTTGATGTAAATGTGTGTACAATTTTCCTTATTGCAAAATTGGTCGCTTACAGATTGGACAGGTTCTCTGCAGAGTGTTAATGGAACACTAACTGCACTGGTCATGTTCATGCAGCTGGTGGGATGAGTGGGCACAGTGGGATTGACTTGACAAACATGGGCTTATCCACAATCTTTAATCACCACTTTGAAAAACGTGCATCTGTTTTTGGAAGAAGCAGGAATACTGCACGCTCTCTTGTGCAGCAGCTTTCATAACGTTATCACGTTTACCTGTGATGCTACAGCTAGCTCTCTGACTGAAACTAACTTCACAGGATGTTGGTGTGGAATTTTCTGAAGGGAAAACATCCAGTGAACATGTCTGGCTGTGAAATGGGAAGTTGCAGTGGTTGGGAAGTTATTTTTCCAGATGAAGCTTTGGTATTGGTGAGGTTTGAGGCCTGCACTCGTGCAGACGTCTTTCTCAGTGGTGAAGGCTGCTTGCTTTTGTTTTCCTGACGTGAGCACACAAAGGTTAGCAGTGTGACGAGTGGCTCGGGCAGGTCTGACATTCTGTGGGTTTGAATATTGGATTCAAAGCTTGTTGCCAACAGGAGCTAGCAGATATTGAATGCTTTAGATTGTGATTACCCTGCTAAGACTAAACATGACTTTTATTTTGTAGGAGCGTGCTGGCCGTCACTGCGGTGCCCTGCGAGTGCTCAACTCTTACTGGGTGGGCGAGGACTCCACCTACAAGTTTTTCGAGGTGATCCTGGTCGATACCTTCCACAAGGCCATCAGACGCAACCCAGACACCCAGTGGCTCACAAGAGCGGTGCACAAGCACAGAGAGATGCGTGGCCTGACATCGGCGGGTAAGAAGAGCCGCGGCCTGGGTAAGGGCCACAAGTTCCACCTGACCATTGGAGGCTCCCGCCATGCAGCCTGGAAGAGGCGCAACACCCTGCAGCTGCACCGCTACCGTTAGAGCGTGCCAGGCATGCCTGTACATTTACAAAAATAAACAGCTCTTTTTATGGGGGTGATCTGTGTCGTTTCATTGTGTTTGTAGAACGTGAGCACGCTCTTTACTGATGCTCTTTCAAAGGGTTATCACGACAAGTCCTCGTGCCAGACCTGTGCAAGTGAAGACATTTACACTTTACTGGATTAGGAACAAGGTTATTTTAAAATAACTGGGAGCTTTCTGTACCTGTGGCACTTTGGAGAAAAAAATCATTCAGATGAGCTGCAGCTCAACTTCTTTGAAAATGTAAGTTTAAAAACTAAAGAAATTATAATTTTAAAAAAACGACACGATATGAGACATCACAACGCAAACAACACAACACAGTATATTAACTTGGTAATAAAAAAAGTGTATTGCACACTGTTATTATTGCACATTAATTATTATTGCAGGCTTTTAGAAGCACTGTAGTTTCCTTGTACTTAGTGCTGTAATCTAAGTGATTCTTAGTTGGTACTAAGAAGCCCAAACAGCCATCACACGCTGGGAGGAGGTGAGCTGCCTCTGTGCTTGAGCGTTGTTTACATCAAACTCTGAACCTGTCATCCCACGAAACATTTTGCAAATCTGTTGCTTCAGTGTCTCATAAGTATGTGAGGAGTGGTACCTGGCACATGCTTTGCTCCATAGAACAACAGATTTTGAAATACTCAGTCTGGCAACGAGGGATGCTACAATCAGCGTCTTCCCCCATATTGATTTCATGCTCCATATTTCCCCACCCCAGGTTCATTAAGTTCTGTAGTAGGTGGGTGTATTGTCACATCACCTGGGGTTGAAGACACTGGGTCAGTTTTGCTCATGTTGAATAAAATACAATAAATAAAAAGTATGTTTACATTAACCAGTACAAAGGATCGGATGTTAGAATAACCGTGATGCTAATAGAACAGGCCTCACTAGTAAATCATTAATTAAATAACTACTTCAATTAAAAGAGAAACTAAGTCTCACTGAGGTTAAAAGCCAAGGAATAAAAGTGGGTTTTAAGACGTGATTTAAAAGTGGACAGTGAAGGGGCCTCTCTAACATGCATGGGCAAATTATTCCATAATTTTGGAGCCACAATAGAGAAGGCCCCGCCCCCTCTGAGCTTCCTCCTGGATCTCGGTACCTCCAGGAGCAGCTGGTCAGCTGACCTGAGAGACCGACAGGGTGTGTGGGGATGAAGAAGCTCAGAGAGGTAAGGCGGGGCAAGACTGTGAAGGCATTTAAAAACAAACATAAGAATTTTAAAATTAACTCTAAAAGACACAGGCAGCCAGTGCAGAGAGGCCTGCACGGGGGTTATATGCTCTCTTTTTCGAGTTCCTGTTAGGAGTCGTGCAGCCGCATTTTGAACCAGCTGCAGACGTGAGAGCAATGACTGACTGACCCCCACATAAAGTGAGTTACAGTGTCCAGGCGGGAAGAAATAAAAGCATGGATCACTGTTTCAAGGTGCTGCCTCGAAAGAAAAGATTTTACTCTTGCCAGTCGCCTTAAATGATAAAAACTGGACTTCACCACTGCTCTGATTTGGTTGTCCAATTTAAAATCACTGTCCAACTTAAAACCAAGGTCAGTAACAACAGGTTTAAAATAGACTTCCAGGGATCCTAAAACAACAGAGGAGGACTCACAGGGACCACTGGGTCCAAACACCAACACTTCTGTTTTCTTTTCATTAAAATTTAAAACGTTTAGAGCCAACCAAGCTTTAATGTCATCTAGACATGTCAAGAGAGGTTTTATGGAGATGCCATCCTTGTGTTTTAGTGGCAAATAAATTTGGCAGTCATCGGCATAACAATGAAATGAGATCCCATGCCTTCTAAGGATAGAACCCAGAGGCAATAGATACAGTGAAAAGAGCAGTGGCCCTAAAATTGAGCCCTGTGGGACGCCGCATGACAGAGGAGCAGAAGACGATTCGTAACCGAGAAGGCTGACAGAGAAAGTTCTATCTGACAAATAAGACCTAAACCAATTAAGTGCAGTGCCACCAATACCCACTACATCATGTAATCGAGAAATTAGAATATTGTGGTCTACGGTGTCAAAGGCAGCAGTTAGGTCAAGCAAGACAAGAACAACATGGTTACCAGAATCACATGCCAGAAGGATGTCATTAAAAACCCTTAATAATGCAGATTCTGTGCTTGAAGGGTTTTAAAACCTGACTTGAAAAACCTCAAAGATGCCATTATCATCTAGAAAATCTTTCAGTTGACTAAAAACAATTTTCTCTAAAACCTTGGAGACTAAAGGCAGCTTGGAAATAGGCCTATAGTTCGCTAAAACTGTGTGATCAAGGCCAGGTTTCTTAAGCAGTGGCTGCACTACTGCATGTTTGAAATTTGCAGGAACCACTACCAGAAGACAGACTGCTGTTAATAATGTCAAGGACATACTGTCTTATACTAGGAAAAATTTCTTTAAAGAATTGTGGAGGGACAGGATCCCGTGGAACCTGTGGGCTTAATATGGCGAACCACATCCTCTAAAGTGGAGAGCGTCACAAGCTCAAACTGAGTGAAAACAGCAGCGCAAGGGACAGAGACAGAGGGGTCAGAGTCAGGAGCTGTGATAAGAGCCCTGGTGGTGACAACCTTTTCAATAAAAAGTTCAGAAAATCATTGCAAATCTCAGGAGAAACTTCCAAACAGACATTCAAAGGAGTATTAAGAACAGTGTCAATGGTCCTAAATAACACACGTGGGTTATGACAGTTGGAAGAAATAATATTTGCAAAATATTCCCTTTTTGCCTCTTTAACAGTGTTCTGGTAGCGATGCCAGCAGTCTTTGAGAATTTGAAATGATACATGCAGTTTATCCTTTTTCCACCTCCGTTCTGCTCGACGACATTCCCTCTTAACAGCACGACTGCTCTCATTAAACCAAGGCTCAGGTTTAGCCTTGGCTGCCTGGTTTTTAAAGGAGCCACAGAGTCCATGATTTTTTGACAGCAAGAATAAAACCAGGAATTTAGCTCTTCTGTATCAGAGGAAACAAAGTCAGAAGGGCCGCCGAGCTGATTAAAAGCAGCAGAAAACTGCGCAGCAGTGGCGGGGTTAATAACCCGACAGCACCGAGTAGCAGCACCAGATCTAACTGCGGTATATGTCAAACCAACGTTGAATAACACAGGCATATGATCTGAGAGTGCACAGTCACAAATCTCCAAGTCAGTGACAGGCAGACCATATGACAGAACAAGGTCCAGTATGTGTCCGTGCTCATGTGTAGGGCCACGTACGGACTGTACCAGGCTAAAAGAGTCAATAAGGCTTAAAAAGTCCTTTACCAGTGGCTTATCAGGACAGACATACATGTATATTAAAATCTCCAACAATACAGAACTACTATCATAGTTGGGCATAATCCCAGCTAAAAAATCAGAAAAGTCGTTTATGAAGTTCTTATTGTATTTCGGGGGGCGATAGATGACAGCGCAGAAAACCGGGTTTGTACGACTCACCTCAAACGAGGTAAGTTCAAAGCTGAGAACGAAGGCTGTAGAAAACACTGCTTACATTTAAAATCCTTTTTGTAAACAGTCACTGTGCCTCCACCTCTGCCTGACGTCCGTGGCGAGTTAAAATAGCAACAATCCACAGGTAAAAGTTCAGATAGAACACTGGACTCACCAACACTCAGCCACGTCTCAGTCACACACAGAAAATCCAGATCACGGGAACTGAAGAAGTCCCGAAGAATAAAAGTTTTGTTTAAAAGTGATCTGGCGTTCACCAGGCCAATCCTAGCGGGAGCTGGAGTTGGCGCTCGGGGTTCAGGAGGTCCAGAAACCCGCCGCAGCGATCTCAGGTTCCGATAATGTTGACAGCGGAGGTTTAGCCTGGGAGGGCATGGGCAGCGAGGCCGAGGAGCATCATCATCAAAGCCGACCACAGGCACCAAACAGGCATCAACAGGATCCAGAAAACGCCGAGACGCAAACAGCCTTGGCAAGAATCCATGCACTGGTCGGAAAACAGCAGAATAATTCTTTAGGTAAACCTTTAGCTTCACCAGGCGACCGCTTCGTTTACCCCGGCGACGATGACGCTTTCGCCGGGAAGGTAGCGTGGGAACCCGGTACAGGTAACCCGGGGTTTCCGATGCAAATGGGGGCAGGGGTTGCTGCCCACCAGCTCCAAAGGACACAATATTTTGGACCACAGGTTTGAGGTCCAATAGTGTCTGGCGATCATACCTCAGCAGAGACTTTGTTTCATGGATGACACAAATTAGAAATAACATAAACAGGAACAAACTTGGCAGTGACAGACGAGCAGCCACACACACCGGCGCCATCTTGCCATTAACAGACATTAAATTATCTGCAACATTCTCTGACTGGCAGAAACGTGTTTAACATGGAAACCTATCGTCTGCATGTTCCAGCAGATAAAATCATGTTTTGTGTTTACACTCTTTCAAATAGATGCGAGTAAAACACAGCAGAAAATAAATAGAATCAAAGACTCAGCAGCTCTTAAATCTATTGCCACCTGTTTATCAGGAGTGGGGCGGGTGGAGGTTTGCCCACAGCGGTCATGTCAGTGGGGGGTCCGGGGGTTTCTCTGTGAATGTCACGTTGCCGTGGCGGCGCGCTCGCTGCTCGCTCAGATTTGAAGTTTCATTTTTTCGCTGCAGAAAGAAGTTTCCTTCCCACACAGAGTGAACAGCAGACGCTGATGTTTGTGTCACTTTTAACAGATTCAAACTCACAGTAATCTGATTACTTCCACACTTTAAACGCTGCACGGTCGTACTCTCTCCATCACTCCATGTTATCCACGTCTGTTGCTGCCACGGACATCACAC